TTTCCCGCTTTTAATAGTACCCTGTCATGCATCCCACCCAAGATGGCATAGTGGTAGGCTCCCCTTCTGTAGATGAGGGCCCCTTTATTATCATACAATAGGTGGGCTAACTCATGAAATGTCGACCGAAATTCGTTTCGAAAAGATTCATTAAGTAGGGTTGTTAAACTAATCCACATGCAGCATAATTTTATAACAATTCAGTTACTTCAGGGTGACGGCTTTCGAACGAATTTTTTTTCCTACTACATGCAAAAACTATACTCTGTAAAAAATTACTGCTGAGGTAGCGAGCATTGTTCTCATTGATTTTCGATGCCCTTAAAAATTCAACTAGGTTTTATGGAAAATATGCATAAAAATATCCATTATTTTACTCATTCCGTAGAAAATGACGTTTCCCTCCAAATATATATTCGAAGGAAGCGAATAATTTGGTTTTGAAAATTTTTCAGATTACCGAGTAATTTTGAACCCGACCTGCTGGTACACTTGCAGGGTGAACTGTTGCGGCTCCCTGTGCTGGAGGGTAGGGGGGGGGGGGGGGATGACGATTCAATGTGACTACAGACAGTGGACTTAATGGTCGTCGATCCGGCGTGCGGGCATAGGTTCGTGAGCCAACGCAGAGGTGTTAGCGATCGCAGTTGCGGTTCGCTGTGTCTAGGGGATGTAATGGGGTGGCGAAATAGTGCGATTCTGCATGGCCCAGTGTAGATTAGCGGCTGTTGTTAGGTCGTGAGCGCAAGTCAGTGAGCCGGGCACGCAGACCCTCGTAATGAGCGTCCAGATCGACATGGCGATTGATGATGGTCGTGTAAGAGTGCCAGGCTTCGAGGAATTCATGAGCCTGTTTGGTGTTCGCCATGGCAAACTGTGCAATATATTGCGACAAAATTTTGCTTCTCAAACCCTCCAACGATGATAGAAATCTACCTCTTATAACAAACTTGAATCAGCCCTCAGCCTAGGCCTCAGAAAATGACCTCTTCATATATCTTGACGTAATTCTGTCTGCTAATCCATCCTGCTCCCTTCGCATATGATCCCATTTTATCATTCATTTGCAAAATTTGTGTACTGTTTTGAGGCTCGCGTTCCAACTTCACATCCGAGTTGTTGATTCGACGATTTGTTACTGCTCACAGTCTCACACCCTCCCCCTCCCATCGATGTTCTGAAATTATCCGCACAGTAGGAACTACCCCTTCGCATGCTTCCTTCTATCGCTGGCGTTCTCGTGCTTTCCCAGTTGACATCACTATGCGACAGTATTTCGCATAGTTCAGACACCTCCGCACGCAGAGCACACATTCGAAAAATGTGGCTCAGTCCCTTCATTTTAATCCAACGGCAGCCAAGCCACCCCGTTTTGACAAACCCCTTGTCAAAAGCCAGCGACGTGGTTTGTGATGGCTCAAAGGGGCAGAAACGCGAAAACAAAGGTCCACCTTTACACCCTGACAGTAATCAAGATTCATCACTTCGTTAGTTGCCTTGCCTCGATTCGTTCCGCTTGCCTCTTAACCATGTAGCTTTGTAGTATCTCCCGGTGGATATTTTGATTAGAGGAAGAGGACTTGCTCACCAGAACAGCTTTGTAGTTTTGCTGACGTTTCGAAGAGCCTAGTCAGCTCTCTACCTCCGGACCGTTTAATGTCGAAAATCGACCAGAATTTCAAACGACTGTACGAGTTACTTGGCCTCGAAATGACCGGCTTGTTCCTTCTTCCTCTCCCACAGCCTCTTGTCAGATATTTGTGGGGCTTTACGGCCGCTTGCGTTACACGTCGTCTCCTCGATTGAGAGCGCTTAAAACTCTGCCTCCCTTCGGGTGAGCTCGTCGTGGGGCGGCGTCTGCTAAGCTTGCAGCAACCATCTTGTCCTAGTCTTTATTCATGTAAAGACGCTGGAAGATCCAGATGCCTGTTGATAGAATTTGCATCTGAATACCACGCCTCAAGCGCGAGTCGTTCAGTTCTAGAGGTGTCTCCGTCTAAGATGGGCGCCAAGAAACTACAATAGATATGCCCTGTCTCATGTAATACTAACCGAAGTTTTAAAATGCGTTTTCAGTTCGAAAATATTACTTGAATACCGTGTCGCATAATGCCAGTCATGTCAGGACTACTTAAGTAGAGTGCATTTTCCTTACTTATTATAGATTTAAGTATACTTTACAGAAAAAAAATGCACAAAAATACTCTTCCTTCTATTGGTAGAAACTCACGTCTTCTCTAAATATTATACTTGAAAAGAGTGCGTTTCTCGGTTCTAAAAGTTTGTAACCATGAGATTTTCAAGACCGTGAAAAGTTCGATCAAACGGCATCGAGTCAGTACATTTATTATTGTCGCTTATAAAGCGGGCAACATGGTCCGCGTACATTACAGAAATATTTTCGTGCATGTTTTCAATAAATCATACTTTAATTTATAAGGACACCGGAAATAAATTGGAATAATTCACTCTGTTTAAGTAGTAATTTTTTACAGAATGT